GGGGGAAGCAGAGGAAGAGGAAGACCTCCACTCCGTTGGAAGGATCAAGTGGAGAAGGACCTGGCTTCACTTGGAATATCCAATTGGCGCCACGTACCGAAAAGAAGAAACGACTGGCGCGCTGTTGTTAACTCGGCTATAATCGCGTAAGCGGTGTCTACGCCAATTAAGAAGAAGAAGAATTTCATCTGAAAAAAGATTAATTAAAGAAAACAGTTATTAAAACCTGAAAATAAAAGGGTGGAAAAATATTGTAAAGGACAAATACCTGAAAATAAAAGAGTGGAAAAATATTGTAAAAGACACATACCTGAAAGAAGATTATAATAAAATAAAGATGAAATAAAAGATTATTTTAAGAAAAACATTAATTATTTAACTTATAAGACACGCGTTCTTTTACAAATAATTTTAACACTGCATAGGCCGCTTAAGCACACGTTCTTTTATATAAAATTTTAGATTGCACAGGCCGCTTAAACAAACGTTCTTTTATATAAAATTTTAGCACTGCACAGGCCGTTAGAAACTGAACAAAGAACTGGTGGAACAGTCAAGGTAATAGTCTTCCAGTTAATCATATCGTAATAATTATTAGCTTTGAAATTCAGCTTTGGCACTTTATTAYATCTAACTCTTCCATTTACAGTGTCAGACTCTGCTTCTCTGGCTGCCAAAAGACGGTCAAGGGCCAACTTTCTGACTTCTATTCGTTCGTCAGTCATCATACTAAGGAGAACGTTTTCTGCAAGAGCAAAGAAAGCATTCTGTTGAATGGATGAATCGACAACCTTGCGCAATTTAACAGGTAAGTATCTAGATCTTTGAATTACAGCATTGAGATGGAATCTTATTGAGAACCACAAAGGTGAGTAAACTGTAAGTATGTACTTGACCAAAATCTTTATTTCCTTTCTTGGTTTGTCAGTAGAAATGTATAATCTCAGAATTCTATTTGCAAAGGTCAACCAGCGAGATTCGCACATGTTAACTGGATGCATCGACGCTAAATCTGAGGAACACTGACCTTAAATAACAGCTTCTAATATTTTATAGAGATAAGCTCGGTCTGTACTAAGTTGGTTCGAATTAATAACCTCAGAAGGTAATTGGCAGGATGGAAAACTTTCAAATTTGACAACAGGCAACTTCTCACAATCAGGGAGCAGTTTACCTATGTCGCCAGAGAACTCTTTGAGATACCATCTATGTGTTCGAAAAGAGCACGAAAAGAAAGTTCGTTGAAATGTAGAAGACAAACAACCCACTGTAATGGCCTACCTATTCTTTCTTCTAGTTTGCAAATGCTTCCACCTTTCCAACCTGTGTTCGTGTTGGTGCCATCAGCACCGACAACTTTTAGATGTTCCACATCAACTGAATTGTTTTGTAAATGTTGCCATATAGCTTGCGTCTCATCCACAACTGACCCGGAAGGAGAGGTGACGTGGCCCAAGTACTGACAACCCTTTTCCGCTATAAGAGAAATATGTTCCTCTTTGACAGTGTCGCGGTAGTGCTTTTCACCTTCGCTGACTTGTGTAAGCGAAGTTTGACTTGCGGCCGTCAAAATTCAGCCCATATACAGAGTCAATACTTTCGGTGTTTTGGAGCTTAACTCCTACACTTTTTTTGCCCGACTAATCTTGCATTTGTCAGTGACAAAGCTAGCCAGATCCTCTGTTATCAAACCTGCTTTTTTGGCAACCAGAAAAGCAGATGAAACAATCAAGGCCGCTGCTCTATCACTTACTCCAAATCTTTGGGCAGCTAAAGCAGTGTGTTCTAATACTAGTGTGTTTTGTTTGGTTTTAGAGGATGAAAGAGAAAATTCATCATCAGCATCATTTTTGGAAGAATCCATTTGCGACGCACCTACATTGTTGTCGTCTGTATGAGGGTCTGGCCGATCTGAATGGTCACGTGTTCTAGCTGATACTTTTCTGGTAAGTGTTGATGTTGAATGACCCTTTGAAAGTTCATTTTTCTTTGTAATCTTTTTTGTTTCTGGTAGATCAACACTTCCAATATGAACAATTCTTCTGGTTCTCTGGTCCAAGAGAAATGGTTGTTCATTGATAGGAACTTTCCTTTCCTCTGGACAAGTGCAAGAAGAAAAATAAATGCATTTACAAGCAGAGATGTCAAATAATTTTCCGGCAGAAGAGACAAAGTCGTCTCTTTTAGAGCTCAAACCTATTGGGTTCCTTAAAAACATTTGTTTAAGAGTCAGAAATTTCTTATGGTATGTGGTGAGCATTTGTACAATTCTGGTGCGTGAAACTGTCGGAATAGATGACTTTTTGAAAGTATTTTCAACCTCTTCTGCAACTATTTCTGTAACCTCTTTACTCCTAGGTTCATAGTTGTCGCCTCGCAGTCGCCCTATGCGAAATCTTTCAAACTGATAACACAAAAGAACATCCTGGTAAGTAGGTAACTGTAACTCAGAGAGATTGTACGGATATATGCCAAACACCGGACATTTCGGTCTAGTGATAGCACTCGGCGAAATCAACGACAAGAGTGAAGGAACTCGATGAAAAAATATTTATGTGGAGACCAGTCYGAWCGTGTMGTATGGCGCAGGGAAATGAATGTAAGTGATAGAACTCGGCGAAATCACCGACAAGAGTGGAGGAACTCGATGAAAAAATATTTGTGTGGAGACCTATCCGAACGTGTCCTTTGGCGTAGGTGAATGAATGTGAGTGAAAGACTCGGCCAAGAAGTGTGGCCGCAAGCAGATTTTCACCTTGCGCTGTGGCGCGCCGCATTTTCGCTCGTATCTCGGGAACGGTTCGTCCTACGGCCATGATCAGATACCATTTCGGTAGCAAATGATGACAAATAACTTTTGTTTTATACATTTTGCCATGAGATGCGTATTTCAGGCGCTAGGTAGACAATTTCACAATTTTAGGCGAATTTCCGAAATTTGAAAGCCGGAGTTGGGGTTGAAGATGCAATTCGTTCTCAAAACAAAAAGTTGCATTGATTCAGGAAGTACTAAGGCAACTTTTCCGCACTATTAGAAATACCGAATCGAAAAAAGTCCGGAATCGACCCACCCTAATGTACGTTTAATATTTTGATAATTACTGATTAGAGATAAGTAATTCCCATCCAATTTTGGGGTATTGCCGACTTCAACATTTAATTTATCTGTAATCGCTCCCTCGTTGTTACCAAGTTTATAGGAATACAGCCTATACTTGAGCTCCTGCCTGTCAGGGTGATCGTGAAGACCGCCTTTTAACCTGATTACGCCAAACAAATTTTCTAACACGTCCTGGTTTAAATGAGACTCAATCCTTTACTGCCGTTCATTAACCTCTGCAGGACCAGTGGTTAACATGCGAAAGCTGGGTAGCAACTTCGTTGGCTTCCGCGAGCTTAAACCTGCAAGAGTGTTTGGTTATAAAAGTAAAATTATTGTAATAAAATGATATAATTACCCATTTCAAACAGCAAATTGCTTTCAAAGGTTTCTGGAGCGAAGGGCACTTGACAAATGCACGCATTTTTAACATTAAATTTGTCCGCCCGACGACAAAAATTAATCCGTAGTTTTATTACTGTTTTATCGTTAGGTGTATGGAAAAATCTCCACTTCGTAGCAGTATTTTTAACATTGTTATTATTGCATCCGAACACTGCGCAACGCATTTTAAAAAATATAAAATGTCACAATTTATACAACAATTCGGATTCACATTCAAAGGCGCGTGCAAATAATAAGTCAACCGTGATCTCAGCAAGAGCAGCTGACTGAAAGCAAACATGCGCATTGCGTACTCTCTCTATCATTCTTGATGTTATCTACATAAATATAGATAACGAAGTAAGCTCTGAAACTACTGAACGGATTTTAATAAAATTTAACAGACGTTTAGATCCAGCTTGAAAGACAGGATAGTTTATATCTCAATTATGTTGAAAATAAAACAATATTCTATTATATATTTCTGAACAAAAATTACAAAATTCAAAAAATACGTAATATTCAGTAGCGAAATATAAATTCATTATTTTTTCATTGACAAATATTTGGTTTATTTATTTTCAAAATAAAACTTAAATAAAGTGCCTTGGATTCTTATATCGGCAGTAATGTTTTCGCATTTAATCGCACATAATATTTTCAGTATATTGAATACTTTATTACATTTTTTATAAAATATATCAATGCCACTAAATTCTTTTTATTAAGAGCAGAATATGTAAAGAAATATTTGTTTGATAACATCGGACAGTAATTTAACCGGACCTTTGGCTAAAATAAAGTGCATATCTACATGTATTGGAATACAAAATTATGTATGTATGTTTACTTTGTACTTTACATTTATATATGTAGGCGTTTTACTGTGTTGCGCATGTACGCTCATAATTGCATATATGTGTGTATATTGGAATGAATATGATGGGGAAACCATTCTTTATTACAATAAATGGAGCAATCATTTAGTATAAGAAGCAGTAAATGTGCTACGTAGTATACATGTATTTATTCAATTTAATTGAGTAATTTAAATTAAAGAAACGAAAAATAATAAAATTTCTTGTAATATAAAGAGTTTGAAGCAACGACAGTGAAAGGTAATTGCTGTGAAATCCTGTTTAAGGAGTCTTAATACTATTTGAAGTGTTATTAACTTCAGGCTGGCACAATTTCAATAAAAAGACTTTAGTCCTTTTGTGTGTATATTAATATTATATTATATGTGCGTTAAAAACTACATTTCGCAAATATGAAGATAAGGATTTTCCATCTGAAGGTCATAAAAATAATTTTGTAAATGGCTGTACAATAAATATACAAAATACTGATCTATATGTATACAACTGCAATAAATCTATGCAGAGCAGTAGGGGTTTTACCTGATATTTTGTTATATTACCATATATATTATGAAGCAACTGAAAAATCACATTGTCTGTGTTGTTTCACGTGCAATATTGATAAATAATTTTAGATAACTTCACAGCATACACGGAACTGTGTTGTGTATCTGAACGTAACCCCGTTGTGCATGTATGAATATTTTCTAAATGTGAATAATCTAATAAATGAAATTTATATTTATTGTTTTGTGTTAATAAACAAATCTTAGATAACTTCACTACACTCATACAACTGTAGTGTAAAAGAAATGCCAAAAATTGTGATTGTTAATCGGTTTGAATAGTGTTGCAAATAGTTCTTACAAAAAATATAATTGAATTAAAATTTGTTATAACATTTTATTTTTATTTTGTAATTCCAAATACCGAACTAATTTTTATTCTTGAAGGAAAAACACTTCTTGAAAAGAAAATATAATACAAAGTAGATATTAGGAATTAAAATAATAATAATTTGATTTTGAGTTAACAATTTTTCGCGTTAGCGTACTCCGTGTTCTACCATTTTGAAGTAGATTCGCAAATTGCCATCATCTTTAATATGCTAAAGCACTGCCCCGCAAACTTATACATTTGGGATTAAAAATTAAATTTTAAAGTTTTTGTATTAAGTTAAAAAATTAATTTCTCAATTTTACATTTTTTATCCCAACCTCAGCAAATGAAAACTTAATTGTTAATCCCAAAATTATAAAATTCGTATAAGTATATACTACAAATCTTAATACTACAATGAATTAAACTTCACTGCTATATATTATATATTTATTTTTTGCAGGTTTACCAATCATAGCCTTTAAATGTTACCAACCACGTTACGTATATAAGATCTTACTACGCTGACAAACTGTTTATAAAGGTTTTTCTGGAGCTGAAAAAAATTTGTAGTTTTTTTAGTAGATTACATCGCATACTGTTGACACAAATTACAAGTAAATGCGATAAATGCCTAAAAATCCCTATGCAACCCTGCAAAATTTGTTCAATAAGAAGAAAAAGCAAAAAGGAAACAATCATTTAAGTGAAAATAAATAGTCGAAAGGGCTACAGCTTTGGAATATTTACTTTTATTTACGTACTTCTTCCGCTGAAAGTCACATAGACTGCGTTCTTTCAATGACAGTATACTTTAATCGATTATCAATTTATGAAATTAAAGTACATAAAAAATATTATATTGCAAAAATTACTTTATTATCACAGATTTTAGAGGATGATCGATAAGTTTAATATTTTAATGTAGATCGGACATTATGAAACTGTATGAAAATTAAAAGCATTCAAATGGCGCAATTATGAGTGAACATTAATTGCATAACTCCTACAAAAGACAATAAAAGAATTATTTCTTGCGCGACTCTTTATAGCAAATAATTTTCAGAGTTTAAATTTCTTCAATTTTTTATTATTATAATCAGAATAGGTGCAGTGTAAAACATTCCACCACATAGTATGGCCTCGGTCGCCGCTTGGCTGCCATTTGCACGGGCGGCGGCCATCGGTTGGGTTCCAATTGCTACACACCCATTACCGCCTCCACCCATACCAAAAGACCGTCGCAAAACTGACGATGAAAAGCTTTTGATTAATGTTTCTGGACGTCGTTTTGAAACATGGCGAAATACGCTTGAAAAGTATCCGGATACGTTACTGGGATCTAATGAACGTGAGTTCTTTTACGACGAGGATTGTAAAGAATATTTCTTTGATAGAGATCCAGATATTTTTCGTCATATACTCAACTATTATCGCACAGGAAAACTTCATTATCCCAAACATGAATGCCTCACGAGTTACGATGAAGAATTGGCATTCTTTGGTATTATGCCTGATGTAATTGGAGATTGTTGTTATGAAGATTACCGTGATCGAAAACGTGAGAATGCCGAACGATTGATGGATGACAAATTGTCAGAGAACGGTGATCAGAATTTGCAACAGTTAACAAATATACGTCAAAAAATGTGGCGCGCATTTGAAAATCCGCACACTTCAACAGCGGCGTTAGTGTTTTACTATGTAACTGGATTTTTTATCGCAGTTTCTGTAATGGCCAATGTTGTAGAGACAGTTCCATGTGGTCATAGACCCGGACGCGCCGGTACTCTTCCGTGTGGTGAACGTTATAAAATCGTATTTTTCTGCCTCGACACCGCCTGCGTTATGATATTTACCGCAGAATATTTGTTACGTCTATTTGCTGCACCCGATCGCTGCAAATTTGTGCGCAGCGTAATGAGTATTATTGATGTTGTTGCTATACTACCATATTATATTGGATTGGGCATTACTGATAACGATGACGTTAGTGGAGCTTTTGTAACGTTACGTGTCTTCCGAGTTTTTCGAATTTTCAAATTCTCGCGGCATTCACAAGGCCTACGCATACTTGGATACACATTAAAGTCATGTGCATCAGAATTGGGATTTCTGGTTTTCTCACTGGCAATGGCGATTATTATATTTGCAACGGTTATGTTTTATGCTGAAAAGAACGTCAACGGGACGAATTTCACATCTATTCCGGCTGCTTTCTGGTACACTATAGTAACAATGACAACACTGGGGTAAGTAAGCATTAAACTTCATAGTATTTTATGCATTTAAAGTTTGCATTCATTAGTTAAAGTGCATTCCAAACTTCAAACGAAATACTTCTACAACATTTGTTTAGTACTTTTGTAATCCAATTGTCAATGTCTTTGCGTTTAATACAAATACATATTTAATACATATACATATTCTTTCTTCTCAGCTGTTAGGAAAAAATGTTAATATCAATAAAAAATCATCAGTTTTAGCCTACTGCACATAACATTGCGTCCTACAGACATCTCGGTCATTTGATGTTTCTTTATAATTTCGATCGTGGTTATCCACTTCTTTTAGTGGAACCATCTTAGACACGTGTCATTATCTTTTTTGCTCCAAAGATGTTTCTTAGGATCTGTTTTTCGAAGATTTGCTTTTGTCCTTTTAGAGTAGCGTCCATGTTTCTGCCCTCTAGCATAATACTGATCGATCGGTTTTATATAGGGTCGTTTACATTGCCTATTTAGCAGATTTCATTTGAACATTGTCATTAGAGAAACGTATACCTATTGGCAGTTTGTATTATATTTTCGATATTTAGGTTTGTTGAGTTACCGATGCTAAATTCGAAGATCATCGTCACATATATTTTATTTTATTCATTCATTGACTTTATTTAGCTTATTTTATATTTCGCTTAACACGAAGTGGCAATGCGGGCGGGAACAGGAGCTGATATTCTATTTGTTTCAAAATGTCTGATGTGGAGAAAAGGTTAGTTTGAATTCTTCAATTTGTAAACGAGATATTAAATTACTATATAAATAGGCACGATTCCGATTACTTTGGCGGAGGGGTAAAAAAACCGGATTTCCGTATAAACGAGGTATGTGCGGATAGGGGAGCTTCTCTAGAGGAGGAATAATTCAAAAATTTGCACTAATAACACTAAATTTATTCACGTTTTTCATCCTGTATATTTAAATATAAACTCTAAACATTGATATAAGTTCACATTTCAATTTTATTTTGTAATATTTTACCTAAATTTATTAATTTAAAAATCTATTTGCGTACTCGTCTTTGCAAAGGTTAGATTGTTTACAATTATGAGGAAAACGAGCCACATCTTAAACACCAAATATGTAGGATTCTTAACGATTTTTCTTTAATTGTTTTTTGCGTGTTCTACATTAATTGCAATAGAAAATACTTTCCAACATTTTTCAAGTTATAATTGAGTTGTGAACACTTTTTCCATCTACATATGTACATATGTATATGTATAATATGTGATTTATACTTAAGACACACAAATAACTAAAGCTCTATGATAATATTATAAAATTTATATCACATCAGGATGACTGAAGTACTTTCGCATTGTACTCCTTTCTGCGTTAAAAATAAACAAAAATATATTGAGTTTTCGTTATAAATTGGTTAAATTTTGTTTATTATATCTGTTAGCGATTTCCATTTATTTTTGATAATACGTTGTTTTGTATATTAGGTGACAATATACATAATATTATTATATAACATTACTATAAAATATTAATTATTTGTTTATTAAATTAAATAAAGAACACATCCATATGCATAGATAAAGGAATTTTTGGGAAAAAAGGAATTTCACGTGGCAGCGCTCCATTTCGTCGTAATTTTGAGCACAAAAATGGTGTTCACTACGAGTTTTTGAAATAAAGATTTCTTGGACAAAAAATCTGCTTAAAATTTTAAAATGTGGATGTATTTAAAAGTTTATAGTTTAATTTAATTAATTGGAAGAGAAAAATGTGCATAAACTATGTTTAATGTGATGAAATAGCTTCTCGAAATTATCGAATTTTGGGATCTTTAAGGTCGAATATCTTCTAAACTAAGCATTTGCGGCACCTATAGCCCCATATATTTTTTAATCAGGAGAACTTCCTTTTTTCAAACGGTACCTTCAAATCGCGGCGCCAAAGAAATCGCAATTGTGCCCATAAATATATTTTGTCCATTTGTTGATATTAGTTTGTCAAAAATGGCTTGCGATATTTTTTTTTGATGACTCATGCCCAGCTCTTGACCGATGCTACGGCTGCTACTATGCCGGTCTCTTTCGACCAATTCAGCGATTTTATCGCAATTTTCGACGACAGGCCTTCCGGAGCGTGGCACATCTTCGACCACCTCTACACCGCAATACCGCAAGCCTTTTTTGACAACCTAATATTTTCAATTAAAATAAATATATCGATAACAAATATTAAATTTTCTATAGCATAGTCAAAAAACATAATTATAAATAAAAATATATGTTTACTTTGTTTCATAATAATTACGAAATTGATTTATTTTTAACATTTTCGTGCTTGAGTTGCTTACAAACTATAAAAGAACGACAATCGACTAATATCTATGATGATCTCTATTCAGTATATTCAAAATGGCAGACAAGAGTTTTTTTGGTTTTGTGACCTGCTAACTATCAGCTGACAAATTTGAGACTAACGCCAGAAACTGTTTAGTGAATAGTAACTAGTCTCAAATTGAGACTTTACCTCAAATTGTCTCAAATAGTGACTAGAGACTGCTTACAGAATTCCGCTTTTAATAAATAAGTAAGATTTATAAATAGTGTAAGAACCAGAAATTCTATAATAAAATTAACAGTAATATATTCTCAAATGATATAAATTTTTTTATGTTGTTTTTGTTGTTGTTGGCAGAATTCTATTGAATTTTAGCATTTAATCTTATAAACCAAATATTTGGTCCTGTATAAAGAAGTATACAGGCAACAAAAACACTTGATCCTTCGAGTATAAAGATATTTAGCGCAAGTATTTTAAGTCCCAAAAAGGAAAAGAGCAATATTAAGGATTTGGTATAAACGAGCCAAGAAAGCTCAAGGCAAATCTTAAGTACTGGTATTATTAAAAATACAGGCAAAACGACCAATACTTTAGCTAAGGTTGGTATCCAGCTCTCAAGTAATTGCTCAAGAGAAATAAATACATTATTTCTCAAGTAAATTTGACAGCTGGTTACACATTGTGAATGATCCACATTAGAAGTGCAAGAGAGAATAAACAAAGAAAATAATCTTTTGTGCGTATTATGTATGTATGTATGTGCGAAGTAACATAAATATTTTCATTGCGATTTAAGGAATGTTGTTAATGATTATTAAGTTTTATTCAACATTTCAAAATGAAATATACTTCATAATAATGAATTTAACTAATTTATGATGAATTTAACGATTATTTTGAATTTCGTTCAAGAAACAATTGTTGATTTGATTTTTCTTCGCAAAACCAAGTTTGCCATATTCGCATTTAATTGAAAAAAAAGTATTAAAAATTAGTACTAGATTATTTTTGAGCTGCATACTAGCACAAGGAAATTTATCGCAGGAAAGTTTCTTGACCGTTTCTTAAGCGTTGTTTTATGTGAAGCTTTTACATTTCTTGAGAGCTGAATACTAAGCTCTAGGAAGTATTTCAGCAGTTCAAAAATTAAAAAAAAAATCAAATATATAATATGCGAAAAATCCGAAGGATCGAACTGCGAATCTTTGAAAAGGAAAATTACAATACGGTGCCAAAAAGAAGGTTTGCATTGTCACACGACATGGGTTTGTTTTAACTCAATGTATGTGCGTGGATATATTCGTAGGTTATCTATTTTATGTTATATGTGATGTGTGTTTTCTTTTAGCTGTAAAATATATGACTGAGAACTAAGGAAGGGATAAGTTCGCGTGGAACCCAACATTTTATACTCTTGCAACTTTCAGGAATCAAAGCAAGGGAAATACCTTAAGATGTAAAATGTCAACCGGAGGATCCAAATCCAAACAATTTTATATACATATTCATACCACTCGTATATAATATATAACTCATGTGCTGACAGACACATGAGGTTTGCTAGAAAACTGACTTTCCGATTAATAGAGGCTTGCTTATAGCAAATAAAATGTTCACTCGATCATTACTGTGCTTACCCCCATGATTTTTAAATTTTAAAGCAATAGCTTAGGTCTGGCAAACATTGATAAAGCAACCCAGTTTCATCAGCATTAAATATATCCCTAGGTTCGAAATCTTTCATCAGATCACTCAACTTTTCCTTCCATTCACAGCATACTCCTTCACTGACAGAAGAACTTTCGCCACACATTTTCTTAAATGTGATATCGAGCCACCACTGCTTGCCTTAAAATGCATTATGTTCATAGCTTTGCCAAAAAACAAAGCCTTTTCAAAATTACGATTTATAAGAGGTTTAATATTCTTTGCGTTGCCAAAAATATTACGAATTAACGTGGGGACGTATTAAATTTTCACAAACTATAGAATTATCGTCAAGGGGACAGAAATTTTTACGAATTAGTGAGAATTTTGAATTAGCGGGATACGAGTTATCGCGACTGGACTGTATGTGACATGTTAACAGTTTGTGGTATTGGGAAAAATAGATAAAATTTGCTCGATACTACCTCAACTTCCATATTTTTATTCCATAAACTTTTATTAATCTTCAGCAAGGAGCACAACTTAATAAAGCTTATCATTTGGGAAAAACATTTAGACTTGGGGCCATTATCTCTGTTTTGATTACTAAAGATTTTTTAATTTGGTCGTAGGTAACTGCTCACCTCGAGAAAGTTATGTTCTCTTCTTTCGGAATGACTTTCATATATGTATATCGTAAGGTTTCATAAATTATTTGTAGCATATCACTACACTACACTACACTAGACAAAATAAAATGGTTAAAAATAAGAACAATATTTCATATGCTTGCAGTTATGGTGACATGGTGCCTGAAACTATTGCTGGAAAAATCGTTGGTGGCGTTTGTTCTCTCAGTGGAGTTCTTGTGATCGCTTTACCTGTTCCAGTTATTGTTTCAAACTTCAGTAGAATATATCATCAGAACCAGAGAGCTGATAAACGAAAAGCACAGCGGGTAAGAATTATATAATCAAACGGGCTAAAGAAGAACTGAATTTCCTTAATTCATTTTATTATATTATGCTATATTAACCTGTTGCAAGAAAATATACTAGTTTTATTCACAGTTATTTGTAACACCTAAAACATATCGATATGGATATTATTGACAAGACTTGAATTTTGGATGACTGTCTTTCCGAGCCCATATATGTACGTCTACATCTGCAGTTCAAACGTTTCTGAAAACAAGCTAATCCGCTCTGCAAATGCGGAAGAAGTGTGAAGGACGACACAGTGGTCTGTTAGCTTGAAGCTGGAGTTGATGGAAAGCTCTCGGAAGAAGAGTCCATCTCCTACACTCCTTCTGAACTTCGATTCACTCCTTTAAAAATTCACTGCTCATTTTCTGCAACGATTTCCTCTCAAGGACTTCACCCTGTTTACTGCTTAAAGACCTCCCAACCAGAGAAAAGTATCGACAGAGATACTCCACCTTCCTGGTGCCACCATTTGCCCACTCCACCGGATGCCGTTCAGTAACAAAGGAGGCTATAGGTGATATGCTTGAGATTAGCTTCGACCTCATATTCATTAAGCCCTTCGGTCGTAAGTTGTTGAAGGCTCCCGCAATATCAGCAAAGGTCTTCATGTATTTAACAATACGTGAAATGTGAATTGCAAATTGCAAATACTTAAATGTTACAGTTACACCCGAACATAGAAATTTCTTGCTTGTTTTTAGTTAATTTACATCTTTGATGTAAATGCATTTGAAAATATTTAAAACACGATGTTTTTGGGTTTTATAACTTGTATCTCTATTTAATATTAAACTTGAAAACAACTCATATATCAATATACTTTTTATCTACAGAAAGCCCGTTTGGCTAGAATAAGAATTGCTAAGGCATCTTCGGGTGCGGCATTTGTTAGTAAGAAGAAAGCTGCAGAAGCTCGTTGGGCCGCACAAGAGTCAGGAATTGAATTGGACGATAACTATAGAGATGAGGACATATTCGAACTGCAACACCATCATCTTTTGCGATGCCTTGAGAAAACAACTGTAAGTAACTTTATATTTACGATATGTCAAAACATATTCTGTTTATTCAGAAATTACCGTTGCTCATTGTTACGATGTCCTGGTGGAACCTTTCTCCTTGTTAATCGATAACTGAACCCAAATGTTCGGGAAAGAAGATTAGATTTTAAGTGACACTCCATAGTCAATTTTGCAATAGTGCAAGAGTAAATCTTTTACAAGTTTTTCGTAAGTTCCTATTTCTCTGTTTCCTAAAAACTCATATATAATTACTTAATGCTCTATGAAATTTCTCAACCTTTTATACATGGGCCCGACAAGCTTAAGATAGTAGGTATATTAATGCATCTCTGTATTTAACTAAATTTTTCATTATTCCCAGCATAATATGTAATGGACGTAACACAATTTTTTCCAGATCAACGAGAGGTTCTACTTTCTAGCCTGGCCTGGAATAATTTGATCTCTCTGAGGCCACTCTTTACTTTTTAATGGCTTGCTGTTGCTCTACTGTCCCAAAAGAAGGAAAGCAGCAGAACATAATAAATCTATTCTAAAGTACTAGTTACAATCCTGTGGCTTTTAAATCACTACATATTTGCCTTTTTAATCATTATGGTTTATTGAACTTAAAGTCTGTGACATACCATCGTATGCTTCTTTCATGTCGATTGCATGCGCGAAAGGAATAAAGGGCCTTTTGTTGTCTTTATGAAGAAAAACCACCTACAAATTTATTTTTGAAGAGTCTATGAGTAAATTCCAGTCTTCCAATTCTTTGCGCAGAGCTCGATTTTTCCATAACACCATTTTGACTAGCCCAAGCACAAATTGTATCTTGCATAATGAAAAAGGAGGAAAGCTCCTAGCTACCTAGTTTTCGTTCCTGATGGAAATAGATTTCACTGATGTAGTCTTGAATCCAATAGCTCAGCATGACCCTTGGATAAAATATTTGCGATAAACTATTTTTGTTATTTTGGTAATTGTGCTCTTCTGTATTTTAGGGATGAGCCGGCAATTTTTATAGCAAAAACGGTCCGCGGGGTTGACACAACAACGTTTGTGTACGTTAGATATTTTCACAAAAGTTCACGTAAGAAGTTTAAAACTAAAAATATTTACATGTTCTATTTTACCGCTTACGCAGATATAGTCGAGTTTACAACAGCGCACCTGTAGTTTTTCCTTTTTGCTGTTTGACGCCAATCGGAGATTCCAAGTACAACCAGGTCCTTCTCCACCTGGTCTTTCCAGCAGAGTGGAGGTCTTCCTTTTCCTCTGCTACTCCAGAGCTGGACCATAAATCTTCCACAAAACCTTTCTTTCGAAAACTCATAACGCCGACGCCGATCAGATGTAATCATCGTTCACTCCTCTGCACTAGGCAGGATAGGATGATGAGTGTCTTCTAGAGTTTGATCTTTGTTCGTCGAGAGAGCACTTTACTTCTCAATTGCCTACTCAGACCTGTTTCAAGGATTTATTCTGCGTTGCATATCGAAGTTATGACTGTCGACAATGACGTGGGAGCCTAGTCGCGAGTGCAATGACTGTTTCTTTAATGACAAGAGATATTTCGTCTTGCCCTCATTCAATATCAGGCTCATTTGCTTCGCTTCTTTATCCGTTCTGGAAAAAGCAAAACTAACAGCGCAGATGTTGAGGCCAATGATATTAATATCATCGGCGAAAGAAGTTCTACACAGTTATAGAAGATTTTACCTTCTCGATTCACCCACTCACTCACTCGAAGAAGATTGAAGAAGTCGCCTAATAGAGATTCGCCTTATCTGAAACCGCGTTTGGTATCGAACGGCTCATAGAGATTTTTCGCTTTCCTGAAGTAGCTTTAGTTTACATAGCCGTATTAGTTTTGAGGAAATAAAAAATTCAGATATAGCGACATAAGGGCAGATTGTCAGTTGTTGATTTCCTGGCCTAAAACCACAATTTGTTGCCCAAAGTCCAATCAATTTGTTGCCGGTGGACCTTAATCTTTCATATTATATGCTCGTTAGAACCTTATACGTGATGTTTAGGAGACTTATCCCATGGTAGTTGGCGCAGATTCTGGAGTCTCCATTTTTGTGGATTGGGCAGAGCCCACTTAAATTTCAATCATTGGATATACTGATGCATGCTTTTTCGCCGCCGTATTTGAATAGCTCAGCTAGCAACTCATCGGACCCTTCCGTTTTGTTATTGTTCTTCGGACGAATAATTGTTATTCAAATCTCTTCAAATTGTTCTTCGTCGGGTAACGGATTGTGTGCTCATTCGACATCTTTTGGGCTCAATACCTCTAATGTTAAGCTTTCACAACCATGGAGCAGGTTGGAGAAGTGTGCCCTCCATAATTTCAGTATGCTCTGGGCATCAGTCACTAGATCACCACTGGAGACTCTACAAGAGTACGCTCCGGCCTTCAAAGCTCTGTTAGCCGCTGTATCTTTTCGTCGCATTTTCTTGTTTTGTTCGCAAATGTGTCTCGCTTCTCCCGTTGTCTCTTGGTTTCTATCCCACCCTGCAAGTGTTGTGATCGATTGTAAGGTTGCGAGATAGGCAATCTGTTTTCTCTCCGCTGCGACACGGCACTCCTCATCGCACCAGCTGATCTTTTGCAGTTTCCGAAAACCAATAATCCCGCTTGCAGCTGTACGTAAGGAGCTTGAAACTCCGTCGCACAGTTCCCTTATACCGGGTTGGTATAATAGCTTGCTTATGGGGAATATTAGCCATTTCCTTTTTTCGTCATTATTAGTTGGGAACATCTCCGCCGAAACATCGAATTACATAGGCAATGTAGGAATATTGGTATCTTCAGAACTCCTTCTTTGAGATTATGAGTTACACGCATACCCAAAACCGATGATACTGCACCCAGATCTTTCATTTCAAAAGTTTCAAAGAGCCAATTTTTAGTTTGTTTCGCAGCTTTGTATCATTGGATGATTATTATAATTTGTTCGTAACAAATTCCACAATCGCTCAGAGCGACGGACACCTTCATGGTTCAAATCTGTTACTTCTTCTCGCTCCTTTTTGATTGATGATTCTCTTCTGTATGTGAATGATTGTTACCTGAAGTTGCGAATTTCGAACATTGATTCTCCAAAATTCCCTTGAATTTTACAAATTCATCGAAAACAGCTGCTTTTGACTTAATTGGAATAACAAACTCTCTTTTGGAATAGTCATCCAAAAACATTAACAAATAGCGCGCACCAGAAAAGGATTTAATATCCCCTTTACATTTTCCCGATATTTGACATTTAAACTGTGAGCGCACAAAGTTAGTTTTATAGCAAATTAATTTTTAATTCTTGAATAAAAATGTCTCATATAAGTGGAAAGCAAAATATATTGAACACACTCAGTTACAAATGTATACTGGACATAACCGCTAATGATTCTAGTATGTACATATATGTACTTATTACATAAAATTACCTACCGAAGTTATTTTTTACAATTTTGTTAAAGGCAGTGTCGAAGAGGATGACGATATCTAATAAATTTTGCCATTCATGCAGCGCTTATTATAGCTAATCGGAGAAGTACTCATTTGGGTGTACCAAATTCTTCGAATTGGGTCAATAATATTCTTCCCAGATTTGATAGTGGCTGCATGCGACAAATGTTGCGCATAGAAATATTTGAGTTCAACTATACATTATCCTTAATCAAGCTGGACCCTGTTTTCCAAAACAAAAATTGTGTTCCACAATTACCAATCGATCTTCAACTAAAGATAACACTTTTTCTTCTGGGATCAAGTGGAGAGAGTGCCTCTATTAGAAAGAAAAACCGGAACAGTTACCAAAGTATCAGAGCGGGTTATCACCGCATTGATTAATTTAAAATCTACATTTTTATGTTGGCCATCTAGAGAAGAAAGGCGAAAGATTATCGCAAAAACAATGGAAGAGCTTCCAGGATGTATTGGCTATGTTGACGGTACTGGAATTAGATTAGCAGAGTCTCCTTCAAAAGATCACGAACTATACGAACTATACATCTCTATAAACAGTATGCCATAAAAATGCAAGTAGTATGTGACTATTCACTAAGAATTAGACAAGCGACAATAGGATACCGAGGAAGCGTGCATGATGCAAAAATTTTTGGCGAATCTGCAATAGGTAAAAACCCACAAAATTATTTTTGTCATCGAGAATGGATTGCTGGCGATTCGGAATATCCGCCAACATCTTCTTACACTTTTTCGACAAAACAGTACTGAGCAGTCGAAAGAAATGAGAGATACTTTCAATCAATATTTCTCTAAATATAAAGTACGTATAGAAAATTGTTTTGGGAAATTAAAAGAAAAATTTTGCAGTTTAAAAGAACTACGGTTACGATTAACGAACGAAAATAATTATAAAAATTGTTGTAGATGGATTTTGGCATGTTGTATCCTTCACAGCATGTTGCTACAATTTAACTTAAACGAAAATTCTAGTTTAGAAAGTCAAGAAAAAACAGACTTCCCACAAGAAATTTATGAACACGACGACCTAAGAAAAGTTCTATCACATTTTGTAAGCAATAAAGATATAATTATTTAATTTTATGTAGTACATATGTATAGTTTTACTTTCTAATTTTTAATTCCTCCATTGCAATTCGTTCCTTCATTTCAAGCTCTCTTAAAGCCAATTTTTCTTTCATTTCAATTTCTAGTATTCTTATTCTCTCTTCTGAATTCATTTTTTTTTTTCAAATAAAAATTTTTCGTATTGTAAATCAAATTCTTTTTCTTTTGAAGATAGCTCCCTATCTTTCATTTTTGATTCTATCTCTAACTTTTGTTGTTTCACCTTAATTAAACCTGTGTGCATAGTAAGAACATCGGCAAGACCTGTCCACGAATAAATACCCTTCCGGTTTATTTTGTTGCATGTAGATTCTAGACCGACTTCTTGAAAACTATCTTCAGGTGTGGTAGCTACATTTGCATTTGTGGTCGTTGAACCGGCGTCGAAATCGTCTGGGGTGGACGTAGAGTTGTTTTC